CACATTATCTATATTTCAGTTGAGATGGCCTTAGCCTGTAAATGCACTTCAAGAACCATCTTATGTCTGCATCGTTAGTAACCTTTTGGACAAAAGACTGATAGCTCAAACTACTATATCTTGATCTCTTATCACATCGTCAGGTAAGAAATTTCAAGGTAGAAAACCAGACATGTATTTCTTCCCGACAAAGGTCCTACCATAATCTAAGCTCACAATGCATGATGGATTATCGATACTGATTGGAATAGCAGCTTTCCAGTGACGACAACAAGGGTAAGCTTAAGAAGTAATGGGAGCGGCGTCATGTGTCCCTCCATCAAATCCTTGCGTTACTTCTAGAAGTGAAATTTCAGAAACACCGAATAGTTAAGCCAAAATCAGGATGGTGACAGGTGTAGCTCCCAGTCCGTTTCCACGTCCCACTGACGCAAAAGCTCATCTGTACCAGTACTACTGCTAGATTTTACATTAGGCGTGAGGGCAGTAAGATCTCTCTCGTTACACAACTGCCATAGTTCTCCGGCAACCTGGTCCATCTATCTATCGTCATCAACAAGACCTGCCCTCGAAATGTCAGCCGAACATTAATTATACTAAGGTCGCAGCAACATCGTGGTGATGCGTCATCTGTTGAAACAGATTACATGACCTTTAAGACATCACAATCCAGAGCGCCCTGCTGTTCGAGTGCCACCTATGCAGAATGTAACGCTAATCGGGCATAATGACATTAAACATTAGAACCGGTCATGTTCATACGTACAGTCCTGTCCCATAGTTATCACTAGCCAGGTGGAATCTACTATCATAAGCAGAATGTGACGCCAGTCTACCATAGATGTACCTAATTTCTATATGTTTTTATACGTAATTAAAAATAGTACTTCAGCTGTATCGTAACCTGTCACGTGCATATTTTTGATCTGTTCGATGGCTGTTCCAAATCATACGGAATTTTCTATCAGTAGCAAAATGACAATGATGTTTCAAGGTTATCACAAGCCAGATGAAATTTGCCATCACAGGCAAAATGTAACGCTAACCTCGCCTATTCTTTATCTGGTGATAAGAGAAAGATATACATTGGCGGTTTTCTAACCTGATATGGTCGTCGTACTTACGCACATGTTCCACGGTTATCACAAACCACGTGAAATTTGCTATCACAAGCAAAAAGTAGAGCTAGTCTCACATAGATGTACCCAATTTTTATCTATTGGTATATTGCTACATTGCTGTCACAAACAATATGAAATTTGCTTTCCCAAGCAAAATGTACCGGGTACCGGTAGTCTCACATATAAAGGGTGTCCCAAAATTAACGCAAGATTTGAATTAAATAGAAAATGCCATTTTTAGTCTTTTAATAGTTATATTTTTATTGACTCATAAAGTACATAGGATAGGGTTATGTATGGAATAACACATCGGACAAATGGCCTCCACGGCTTTGCATGCACATGCGCACTCTTTTGTCGAAATTTTCCATGACCCTTCTGCATAAATGTGGCTGAATTTCGTTGATGCAGCGTTGAATCTCCTCTTTTAATGCACGGGTGGTTGTGGGCTTGTTGACATAGACTTGTGATTTCAAATAACCCCATAAAAAGAAGTCTAATGGTGTTAAATCACACGATCTAGGAGGCCAATTTTGATCACCGAAACGAGAGAGTACACGACCGGGAAATGTCTCATGCAGTAATTGAATTGTTTCACGGGCTGTATGACATGTGGCACCGTCTTGTTGAAACCACATATTGGGTACATCAATATCATTCAATTTTGGCAGAAAGAACTGTGTAATCATGTCGCGATATCGAGCACCAGTGACAGTCACTGCTTGACCAGCATCATTTTCAAAAAAATATGGCCCAATTATGTCTCCAGCCCAAAATCCACACCAGACAGTCACGCGTTGTGGGTGCATTTCTTTTTCGACAATCACACGTGGATTCTCCGAACCCCAAATGCGGCAATTTTGGCGATTGACAAAGCCATCAAGATGAAAATGTGCTTCATCGCTTAGGATGATTTTGCTTGAAAAATCAGGGTCCATTTGTTGATGTTCAATAATCCATTCAACAAACTCTCTTCTCTCTGCATGGTCATTAATCTTCAATTGTTGTGTTAATTGAAGTTTGTAAGCATGAAGACACAGATCTTTGGTGAGTATACGCTGTAGAGAGGTTCTTGACATTTGCAATTCTTGTCCACGACGTCGAATTGAGGTTCCTGGATTGTCCGCAACACTCTCACGCACTGCTTCGATATTCACATTTGAACGGCTTGTTTTTGGACGACCAGTGTGTTTGGCGTCTCCAACGGATCCAGTCTCCATGAATTTTTCAATTAATCTCTTCACAGTTGACGAAGTTAAAACACTATTCCGGCCATATTTTGTATGAAATTTTCGAACTGCAGCCGCCAAGCTTTCACTATTTTTGAAATATTCTTTAATAATGAAGACACGTTGTTCTATCGTGTAACGCTCCATTTTTCATAACCCTATACTGATAGCTGTCAAATTGCTTTTTTTCAGGGTTGCCAACACTTCACTGCACAAATGGCGGCAAATTCAAATCTTGCGTTAATTTTGGGACACCCTTTATGTACCCACTTTTTATCTGTTATAAATGAAAAATGCTATATTGCTACATTGCCAACACAAACCAAATGGAATTTGCTATCTCAAACAAAATGTAACGCTATTCTCGCATAGATGAACCTAATCTCCATCTGTTATTAATGAAAAATGGTACCTCAGCGGTTTCCTAAACTGACTATCACAAGCTAGGTCCATGTTGCTAGTCCAAGCAACCGAGTCTAATGCTTCCATGTTATCCCAAACGTCTTCGTTCGTCCTTGGTGTGGAGCTGACTATCCCAAGCCAGATCCACGTTGCTATCCCAAGAAACCGAGTCCAATGTTTCAGCGTTATCCCAAACGTCTTTGTTCGTCCAAGGTATGGAGTGGGCTATCACAGGCTAGGTCGATATCGCTATCCCAAGTAACCGAGTCTAATGCTTCCACGTTATCCCAAACATCTTCGTTCGTCCTTGGTGTGGAGCTGACTATCCCAAGCCAGATCCTAGTTGCTATCCCAAGCAACCGAGTCCAAAATTTCAGAGTTATCCCAAACGTCTTTGTTCTTCCAAAGTATGGAGTGGGCTATCACAGGCTAGGTCGATATCGCTATCCCAAGTAACCGAGTCTAATGCTTCCACGTTATCCCAAACGTCCTCGTTCGTCCTTGGTGTGGAGCTGACTATCTCAAGCCAGATCCAAGTTGCTATCCCAAGCAACCGAGTCCAATGTTTCAGCGGTATCCCAAACGTCTTTGTTAGTCCAAGGTATGGAGTGGGCTATCACAGGCTAGGTCCATATTGCTATCCCAAGCAACCGAGTCTAATGCTTCCCACGTTATCTCAAACGTCTTCATTTGTCCTTGGTGTGGAGCTGACTATCTCAAGCCAGATCCAAGTTGCTATCCCAAGCAACCGAGTCAAATGTTTCAGCGATATCCCAAATGTCTTTGTTCGTCCAAGGTATGGAGTGGGCTATCACAAGCTAGGTCCATATTGCTATTCCAAGCAACCGAGTCTAATGCTTCCACGTTATCCCAGACGTCTTCGTTCGTCCTTGGTGTGGAGCTGACTATCCCAAGCCAGGTCCACGTTGCTATCCCAAGCAACCGAGTAAAAAATTTTAGCGTTATCCCAAACCTCCTTGTTCGTCCTTGGTATGGAGATGACTATCCCAAGCCAGGTCCACGTTGCTATCCCAAGCAATAGTGTCAGGACGTTATCCCAAACGTTGTGTTAGGCATAGTCTGCAGCGCCCGTGAGGCATCCATACTAATATTCGCTGAACTTACACCTAAAACATGGGGGTTAGTCGACAGTTACCTGATGCTGACGCCGCTTCAGAAAAAGGGGTCTGCACGCTACTTCCTAATTTTGCTCCGCGACGAAAGCATTGAGGCATTGAGGCGACCATCGGTTGGTATCTCGTTCGACAATGCAAATCTATAGGCCAACCTTCTGTCCTGTTTTCTAATTGTAAATGTTCCGCGAATCCTCGTCACTGCTGAAAACGTAACGAAGCGCGCCGATTGACGTGTTGACAGTTTAACACGAAAAGAAGGAATGAGTGTGTATATTCGACCAGAGAGGAGGAATGTAGGTGGGACGGGAGCGGTGCCGCTTTTCTTCGCTGCGTGCGCGCTTTTAATCGTGGGGGTTTGGTACAAGTACGAGGGTATTACGAGATGTATTCTAAATATTTACTTCGATGAGGATGGAACATAATTGCCGTTATTGGGCTAATGAAAATCCGCGAGAGTTACATGAAAGACCGCTGCACGCCCAAAAAGGTGACGGTTTGATGCGCTGTATCGCAAACTTGCATCATTGGCCCTTACTTCTTCGAATACGGTAATGGCAGTGCTGATAGTGTGACGACGAGGTGTGTGGTTCCAACAGGATTGGGCGACCGCCCACACAGCCAAAGCAACGATGAATGCTATTCGAGGTTTGATGATGTTCACTGGCCTCTTCGATCCAAACATTTATCCGTCTGCGATTTTTTCCTATGGTAACACCTCAAAGCTTGTGTATACGAGCACAACCTCGAACTCTGGACGTGTTTAAGGAGACAATTTGCAGCGAAGTCGCCCAAGTTGAGAGAACGATGTAGGAGAGAGTTTACGCGAACATTCAACAATGCCTCCGGAAATGCTTCGTCAAAAACGGTCACCGCATGACTGATGTGATTTTCCACACGTAACTGTGACAAACGCGGTTTCATTGTGAACCTGAATCTGTTAATAAATTTGTTTTTGAGTAAAAGTTACCGATTTTGTGGTTTTTTAAAAATCGTCCGACCTTTGTGAACCTGTATTTTATGTTTATGTTTATGTTTTTCATAAAAAGATGAACGCAAGAATGTTGCATCACTCAATACGATATCCATTGCCAATTGCATTGATCGTAGTTACCCTTTGCTCCTCAGAGCTCTCAGCTTGCGACCCGCGACCCCTAAAACAACTTGAGTTTATAACTGGACAGCTAGCGTCCTTTGTGGCTGAGCATAAATTACGCCAAAAATATGTAAGTCATCATATAAATCAAATATGGGACAATCTTATTTTCACTATATGGCTCAAGTGCTCTCGATTTTGACATACGATTTCCGGCTGTTGTGGAAGATTCCGATCATTTAGTTTGCCTATCTCTCATTAGAGAACAGTTTTGGTCTCATATAAAAGGAGAGATTTTCGTTCGACAACTTATTGTGTTCCGATATTACGTAAGTAACAATCATACTATTAACTTATCACTCTTTAATGACACGTTTGCTTTTGATTTTTTGTCGCAATTGGAAATTAATATCAAATGATACCGCTGAGGCCTTATACGTAATCGCTTTTGACTATTTTTTTTTTCAATTCAGAATGTTGTATCTCTCAACGCGTTGAATAAATGTGTCAATGGACCAACAGTTTTTCCATAAGTAGTTTCCGAGATATAGGGTGATTCAAACTTAAAAAAACGAGGAAATTGAAAATTATAAAAAAGTATATATTTGTCTTTTCCGGGCAGTTCATTACAATTATGCTTGAAAGATGATAACAGTAAATCACCGCCGCGGCTCATGTGGCATAACGTAATCCGTTTCGAGAAATTTTCGACTACTCCGTGGCACGAATCAGGTCCTATTTTGGTAATTTCGCGTCTGATCTCCTGTTTCGGCTGCGCAGTTATGTTCGGGATATTCTTGTAGACTTTGCTCTTGAAATACCCCAACGAAAATAATCTAAGGGAGTTAAATCACAGGATCGCGGCGGCCAAATGATATCGCCGTTACGTGAAATAACGCGACCTGGAAACTTGCCGCACAGTCATTGTATCGTTTCTCCTGATGTGTGACCTAGGCTTCAATTCCTGTGTTAGTTGGACTCTGTATGGGTGTAACTTCAAATGTTTTGTTAAAATCCGCTGTCTTGTGGAATAAGTAAGATCCAGTTGCTGCGATCGATGACGAATCGAGGTTCTTGGATTTTCGGCCACACTTTCGACAACAATAGCAATATCGTGTTCCGATCGACCTCTATAAGCAGGCCTAGGGGTTTTGGTGTTAGCGACGGATCCAGTTTGCTCGAATTTTTGCACCAAATTCCAAACTGTCCTCTCGCAACGCCGATTTTGCTCGTCAAAAAATTCACGTAAAGCATGAAAAGGATTCTTCCTTGATCGGCCGTTTTCACTACAGGCTTGGATAATTTTAACACGTTGTTCGGTTGCATATTGCTTCATGACTGTTTTGTTTATATCTTGACGTTAGAAATAGCACGTTGTCGTTGACAAATTCGGTGGCGTTCCAAAAAAATATTATGTGTAATGTGGAAATTCAATTTGAATCGCCCATTACAAGATCTATATATTTATCAATCCAATTCCTATTACAGTTTGATGTAGGTTTATTGTCCAAGTTCGTAACAAACTCTTGTCGACGTTTCTCAAAGTTCTTATACATATATCCTGATTGTAAAAAGAAAACGTTGAAAAGAATATTTAGTAAACAATTATCTTTTAATGATAAATACCTAAGACATATACAAATAAAGCAGTGTTTTATTTGAGGAATAAGAATTAAGTTTTGAAAACATGGTTTCCCTATTAAGTATCAAATTCAAAGTTTGACCGAAAGTCGTTCCCAGATCGCAATAATATTCATTTTTTGAGTTGTTATAGTCAAATGGAAAAAAATTAAATTACATCAGTTTGGAAACAAAAATTAATTGTTTTGGGACGCCCGAATATATATTCTTTGAGAAAATTCAGAAGTCTGTTTTTTCAACAGCTACTCGGAGATAAAGAAGTACGTAGGTCTATCCAAAAATCTCACAAAACTATAGATGCCTATCAAAGATGCAACGTTATTATCCAGGCTATTAGTCGAATACCCTGTATAATTCTGAATATTTAAGAAACATATTCCCACAGGGACGGTGCAGGATAATCCTGCATGGTTTTTTGAAAGTTTGTGCCTCGGTGCATGCCAATTATCGAAGAAAGCCGAAAACGTGTACTTCGAAAGTTTTGCAATACAGCTTTATTTATTGACTTCGTTTAAAGTAACTTCGACCACATTCAATACACTTTTTCATCCGCCAAAACCAGTCCTTAAATCAGCCCTGCCAAGTTTCACCCGGGAGTGAGACACAATCGTTGCTCCAAGCCATCAGCAGGTCCTCACCGCTAGAAAACCGTTTTCCTTTTAGCTTCAGTTTCACATGTTGAAATAATGCAAAGCCGCACTATAAGGAGGGTGCTCAATAGGTTTCAGTCCAGAAGTGGTCAAATACTCGGTGCAGGCTTTGGCGCGGTGAGATGGAGCATTGTCATGGTGGAGGTACCAAATTTCCAATCTTGACTTTGGCCGCAGGTTTTTCATCTTCAACTTTAAGCAGGCCCTGTTCCGTGCACCACTCAGCTGTGACTGTCTGCTGTGTGTCCAAAGTGACACGCACCACAATCCTGCTCCAGTTTGAAAAACACAGTTTTTTCTTAACAGATTGGGATTTTCCCACAACTAAGATTGCTGTCCTCATCATCAAAGACCGAAACTTTGTTTTGAGCCTTGATCGGCACATCGTAACAATAGATCCAGGTCTCTTCACCTATTATGATGCTCTCCAGATACCGAGATTGCCCCTGGTCAAACATTTTCAGCATCTTTCGGCACCATGTCGTCCTGCTCTTCCGGCAGACTATGCGGTATCCAGAGAGAACAAAGTTTCCTGATCATGCAGAATTGAATGAGTTGCTGGCGCATGAATGTGCAAGGTCTCCTCTATCTGTTGATATGTTACTATCCGGTCTTCGTCAAGCATTTTCCTCACAGCAATAATGTCTTCCTCTATTACCGCTGTTCGCAGCCTTCCTTCCCTCTCAGCGTCCCCCAGAGTGAAATTGCCCCTTTGGAATTCTCTGTATCACTCTGTATCATTCTTGAATGCAAGCATCATTTTTTCTAAGCACCGGTGTATGCTTAAACCATGAGTAAAGTTATACCGTAAAACTGCCCCTATCTCACAACGTGACCACGATGCCATACACTGTCAAGACGAATGAACAACTAAATCAACAGACGTGCTGCTAGCGGCTACTATGCACTCATGGACATGTCTCAACATGCACTAACATGCAGCCTCTTGCGTCCGTTGTTAAGTCATATTACAAAACTTTTATAGTACCCTTTTATGTCTACGAATATGTACTCTTTCGCGGCAACGCAAAATTTTCCTCTCCTGGTATGTTCGCTTCGCCCGGATTTCCCCTAATAACGAAAAAACAAGTAAATGTCATAGCTTGAAACCTTTCAAGTACTACCAGTGCTTCTGATGAACTAATTCATTTTTGTTGGTATTTTAGAAACATGAAGTCTTTGGTTCTGGTTGCTACTTTGGTTCTGGTGGCTTGCGCTTCTTCTATTAAAGAAGAATGGCAGCAATTCAAGGTAAGCTTAGAATGAAATTACTTTAAAGCTGAACAAGACTTTTACCCGTAATCAATAGGAATGAACTCTATTAGAAAAAACATTCACAGATAAAAGGCTGATCAAAGCTCAAAAAAATACAATAAGTTTTTCAAACTAAAAGAGTCTCTAAACGTCCGATACTTTGTATACATACATTTCCTTATTCTCACTCCTCCCTCAAGCGTTTGCACTCTTTACAGACTATTCAAAAATTGCTAGTCATCGGTGAAAAAACAAAGAAGCACTACAGCACATTGGTCAGAGGTTAAGTGCAAAAGCAGCTCTGTTGCTAAAATTTGCCACATTGCTGTGGATTGATAAAGACATTCATCATTATCACTCTCCAAGATATAGGGGAAGGGAGCATTGCGAGTTTTTGGTATTCTAAATGCTGTTCCTCTTTGACATAACTGACGTTTACAGCACAATTCTTACGATTTGTACGTATATACGTATTGTGACTTGTGACAAATCTTAGCTATACAGATTGCACTTAAACAGTCATTTATGTTCTGTTTGTTGCTCAATAGTAATTTGAAGTGGTTGATTGTGTCGGTATTTCCACCAATAAAATTATTTGATTAGTTTAATGGGCAGTTCAGAGTCTTAATCCTTAAGCTAAGTACACACTAGTAGACCCCGTTGCTCAATTTGCCTATAAGCAGTCTGGAGACGGTCTCAAGTCACGATCTATAGATGGTCTATAGACATCCTTTCTTGTCTCGTATAGCATCCATAATATAATGTGAATTTTTCGGTATCATATTCGTTTTCGCCATCAAAGGCATTGTTTTATATGGAATGGACTGGGACATGAATCGTCTCTAGACGTCGAGTGACGGAATTTGTAAAAATACGTAAATTCCGATCGCCACGGGTATCATGTATCTTGAAAAGTGAAATTATATCGATTTGTTTTTACATTATACAGTTTTTTTTTGACATTATACACGTTTTTCTACAAGATGTTAACTTAGAACTTCGTTGTACGTATTGCCTACACGTCATGAGGCTTTAGTTATCAATGTATGTTTACTGGAGGTCTAAGGTATAAGTTGTATGTGTTGATGATAATTCCATTGCATTCTCGTCTCAAATACACTTAATCGAGATCTTTGTCACTTTGTCTTATAAATTCTGGAAATTACATATACAAATTTGATGAATATCAAAAATGAGAGAGATCAGAAGGAATTATATTCACTGTACACAGTAGAAGTACAAGCCATATACATGCTAACAGTAATTACACACAACGCGGGCGCGGTGATTATTTCCCGTAATTCTCCTCAGTTTTTCGTAATTTATAACTTTGAACATAACCTCTCTTCAGAAAGCACAACATATAAATAACCCGTCATATTCAGCCTAGTTAAGATTTTTTCCCATAGCAAATATCGCCGATTTTATGCACATGCGGACCAATACACATAATCATCCAGATGCGATCTTGCTATTCAACCAACTTTCTTCTCAGAGATAAAAACTACAGATACGGATTACTAGGCCTCACAAAACTATGTGACCAATAATGCGTGAAGTTTTGTTGAGTGATTCCTCCATAGATGGACGTTCACAACGATCCTAGCGAGCAAACGTGGAATGACAGTTTGCGCCCTAAAAACTACCTAGTCTGCAAGTTGACATCTTATAGGTTTTTTTTGACGTTTTGTAGGTTTATTACATGATACCCGTGCTGGAGGCTATAGACGTGTGATTTTTGGTCTCACAACAGTTCCGTAGACTGCGCTTGGTTTATGGACGTGTATACATAAACAACCTGAGACATATTTCAGATGCCAAAATCGCACAATATGTCTACTAGTTCTGAGGATTTCTGAGTGCTTTCCATGTTTTTTTTTCAAGTTAACATTGCCCAGGTAGACCCCATTGGATTTACGGAGCAACAATGGGATAAGTTTCAGACATTCCACTGAGATTGAAAAATTATCAGCCCCAAATGTCGTGTGTGCCCCCCTAGACGAAATCCTAAATGCGCCCTTGCTCTCATTTATCTATTATTATTGTTGGTGCATCCTGGAGTGGTTATTACGCAAAATGAAACTGTAGACATCAAATTGTAATCCGTGGTTTAAAAATTTCGTTGCGTGTTTTCAGCTGATCCATGGTAAGACGTACAGGAGTTTGGTAGAAGATAAACACCGCTTCTCTATTTTCCAAGACAACGTGCGTAAGATCCAAGAACACAATAAAAAATACGAGTCGGGTGAGGTGAGTTACGCTATGAAGGTAACACAGTTTGCCGACATGACCCAACAAGAGTTCCTGGACATGCTGAAGACCCAAAGCAAAGGTGCCCCACCAAGAAATGGGCTAAAATTTAATTCCACGGGTATTCAGACGAAGAAAACAATTGACTGGAGGAAAGAAGGTGCTGTGACACCTGTCAAGGATCATGGTAAATGCAGCTCATGCTGGGCTTTCAGTGCTGTACGTATATTTTCATTCCCTTTAAAAAACTTATCGCGTTCTTTAAGCGTCACGTATGTCAGGCCTTGTTAAAACACGTTGACTGCCGTGTGAGACCAACGTGTCACCATGGTAAAATGAAAATTCTGGCCGCATGATTCCTACGTGGACTCGCACTGACAGAGAAACCATATTGCTGCGTGAATCCACGGTGGTCTCTTAGCTGCATTTGAATTACATTGTATCGATTAATAGGCGGCCCAATGAACCCGTAGGAACTGTTGGCCTTTACTTGTGTGATACCACTGTTTTCTCACATGACAAAATATTGTAGTAAGAGTCGAAGTTATAGTTTTCATTTTTTTCTACTTTTAAATAATTATTTCAATTATGACAAATCTTGTGAAAAAAAAAGATAAACAAAACGAGAACTTAAACATGTGAAACTGAAAATATTAGTTACTTCTGTTACAAATGTGAACCTGAAAGAAACAATCTAAGCAGTAGTGCTTTTCGCAACTTGTGCATTTTAGTGTCGCTTGCAGAGTTTTACGCATAGCAACGCTGGCTTATGATGTATGAGATTTCAATTGTTTGTTGTAAACTGGCATTGCTGCCAGCATCGAACTTCTGTACAACAGCTCCCGAAGTTGACGGTTGGCTTCCCTCAACAAGGTCCTGTACACTAGCTGTCAAAGATTTTTCACTTTTCGGTCTTTTTATTCCTGAATCCGAATCAGAGTCAGTCATATTGTCAGAAGGCTGATATTCATCTGATGATGTTTCTCCAAACAAGTTTCCATCGTCTATTTCGTCTTTAGATAAAAGTTCTTACTAAAGTTGTTCTGCCTGATATGACATGATTGTTATAACACTCTCGACTATAATGGGTATTATAAACTATTGATCAAACTAATAAAAAGAAAACTCAACTGTTATACGCGACAAACTCTTTAGATTGCGGTGCATTCAGGCAAAATGCGTTGGTCTCACGCGGCCAACAGGCATAATCTAGTCATGACCAGCCGCGTGATGCCAATGTGTCACCACAAAAAAATAGTTGTAAAAACAGCGTTTTTTATTTTTGTTTAGGTTTTATTTTTATCCTGCTTGCATTTTAGATTATTTTGAGAGGAATCATGGACAAATTTTCTTACGGCCAGTAAGGCATTTTTTTCTTCAGTCCATAGTGGCAGTCAACGTGTTAAATTGGCAGAAAAAAATTCCTCGACTCGTATAGCAAATGTCGATAGCTATACCTTCAGGCTCGCCCAACGAAAAGGTCGCACGCAGATTTGTGACTCTCCTGGTATATTTTGGGAAAAACCCTTGGACACGTCAATTTTGATTTGTAGGGGGACGTCTTTTCATCTATAAACGGAGAATACAGGTTGATCCAAAAATTAGATATAGTGTTACACTATAGATTTTTAAATGGAAAGCCCCACTTGCTTAAATTTTTAGATACTCCATGAAGTTTTTAGTAACTCCTGTATAATAAAGTTCATACCTATACCCAATCGTTCTGAAGATATTTCAATTCATAATAAAATTCAACCATCGTAACTTAATACTGATAATAATGAAATGTACGGCAAAAAATAATAATCATATATAGTGAAGTTGTTGACGTAGATGGAATATCTGACCATCTAGCCCTAATATTTTATGTAGATGCATCGGAGATAAGCAACCTATGTAAACTGAGGACATATTGTGATTACTCTACCTTTAGCCTAGACAATTTCTACCATGATTTACTTTTAATAAACTGGGATTTTATATAATAAGCATTTGCTCAAGTATATTACCTTCATTATTAACTTTTGTATAACAAATAATCTTTATCCCTCTTCCTGGAAGAATGCTCTTGTTCTCCCTCTGCCTAAATCTAATTATCCTTCAAGTTTTTCTGATCTTCGTCCTATAAGCATTTTACCAAGTTTATCTAAGCTTTTGGAAATGGCTCTACATGAGCAGCTGCACACATTTGTTTGTCAAAATAATTTACTGACCACCTCCCAATCTGGCTTCAGACCATTACATAGCACCACCACTGCGCTCCTGTCTATATCGGATAATATTTATAGCGCGGCTGATCAAGGAAAGCTGTCCTGCTTAGTTCTTCTTGATTTTAGCAAGGCCTTCGATACGGTTGACCCAAATATTCTCTGTAAAAAGCTTAGATACTTTGGCCTGTCATCATCGGCTTGCACGCTGATTAAGAGATTTTTAACTGATCGCTCACAGTCTGTCATATATAAAAACAATATATCAACTTCTTTATTCAGAAATTTTGGTGTCCCTCAAGGATCTATTTTGAGTCCCCTTTTATTTGCTCTTTATATATGTGATTTTCATGAAACCGCCAGCAACTCAATCGTTCATCATTACGCCGATGATACCCAACTTTATAACTGCTTCGATCCTGATGAATATATGCTTGGCCAACATCAAATAAATCAAGACCTGCAGTCTATTTTTGACATATCTAGTGCTCACAATCTAAAACTAAATCCTGGCAAATCATGCTGCATTTTATTTGGGCCCAAAAAGAATCGTGAAATAAATCAATATCGCATTAATATTATGGTGAATAATGAAGACATATCCTTCGTAAACGAATGCAAAAACCTTGGTATCTGGTTTGACTGCAAGCTACGCTTCACTAAACATGTTAACCAACTATGCAATGCGTCCTATAATGTGCTTCGTCAGTTATACCCGAGTCGAAGTGTCCTGTCGACACAGCTCAAGCTTAAACTCTGCGAGTCCCTTATCCTGTCAAAATTATCTTACGGTGACTCTGTTTATGGACCTGCTCTTTTACAACGTGATGCCGAGCGGATTCAGATGATACAAAACTCATGCATCAGATTTTCTTATGGAATCCGTAAATTTGATCATATTAGTAGCGCTTTTGACCAATCGGGATGGTTTAAGATGAACAAATTGAGGAAACTGCATTGCCTATCTCTGGTACATAAGACCCTTATCCTTAAAGCGCCATATTATCTTTATACAAAACTAAGCCTCCTCTGCCAGTACGATCAAAGATCCTCTAGGAATAAACTCATCTTACTTATCCCGCGGCATTCGACAGCATTGTTCACACGCAGTTTCTCGTACTGGGCACCCAAACTATATAACTGATTATCAAGTGAGTATAAAGAATATAGCCTAAGCAATTTTAAAAAAAGGATAAAGATGAGTTTAAAGCAGTCGGATGGCTAACATTTTACTTTATGCATATCCACAGGTAATTGATTGTTTCCTTTCTCTGATAAGTGTTATATTCTAAGTTTTTTTTTCTCTATAGTTTGTGTCAATGTTTTCCAGGTCGGGTTGAAAAACAGCATAAGCTGACACTCCACCTTTTCGTCACTGTTCCTTTTAAACCAATTATTTTGTAATCGTGTGACGAATAAAGGCCATTTATTATTATTATTATTATATATACCAGCAATAACATTTAGTATCAGTCAGTGTCATCGTATTTCATAGAAAAAATTTGTCTTTCATTTCAAATTGTCAAATTACCAACCTAGTTGTGATAAATATTGAACAATGACTTATTCAATTCAAGAAAGGGTAGAAATAACAAAACTGTCTTAACGAAATGGGAGCATTGCAAGAGCTTCTGCTCGGTTGTTTGATGCGTTACATCCAAACAAAAATATTAACGTAGCACTTGACAACACTCAAAGTACTCGTGAACTGACTACTTCTTCAGGATTTACACGCTCAACAGTACAAAAAATTTTGAAAGGCAATAAATTTCACCCGTACAAGATAAAACTTGTTCATGTGCTTAATGATTGATAGAAGGTTGTAATTTTGAGAATTAATGTCACAACGTTAAATCAACAATGCAAATCTGTTATTTAATATTTGTTTCTCGGATGAGTGTACGTTCTATCTACATGGTGCTGCAAGTAGACATAATTGTCGTTATCTGAGTATCCTGAAAAGATAAATGTGAGGGGCGATATTTTCGGAAGTCATATGATAGAACCTTTATTCCTGGAAGCTTGACGGGCGAGACGTACTTGGACATGCTAGAAAATACATTAGAGCCACGAATTACCAAAATAATAGAAAATGACGTTAATTTTAATGAAAATTGCATTCATTTCCAACGAAATGTTGCGCCGCCGCACTATGTGGCTCCAGTACGGCGCTTTTGGACACCCGTTTCCCGAATCAGTGGATCGGAAGACGAGTGGCCGTCGAGATCACCGGACCTAAGTACTTTGGATTAGTTTTTTTGGGGACATTTGAAAAGTTAAATTTTTAGTACGAAGCCAGATTTCATTCAAGATTTTGCTCAGCGTATTACGGCTGAATGTAGACAAATAACTCAAGACATGCTTGAAAATGTGAGGAATTTATTATTGCATAGAGGTAAATGGACACCACATTCAGCCCTTATTACCTATTACCACATTGACCTACCTCTTTATATGAAATTAATTTTTACTTTAACTTGTGCGTGTAAGCTGTAAGTTGTTTTTTGTTTTTTTAATACTTGGAGACCTGTTTTTAATTTTATGTATCAGAACCATATTGATTATTATTTGTGCGATATAATTCCTTATCAGAATTTCTATAATTCAACTCAAACTCAAACAGTTTCACAATGACTGAAAATAGGTACAAAAATCTAGAATGTAACGCATTATCTTATTTTTGGATCGACCTGTATTGTACGGCTATAGGTGAATAGACATCCCCCTAGAAATCGTTTTTTTTTTCGTTGGGCCACCCTGTAAACGTTTGCAATTTACGGATTTCGAACTATTTTGTCGTTAGCTATCAAACACTTCAGTATTATTCGAGTACGCTTAGCGTGCAACAAGTTCGAACTTCACTATCGGCTTGGGAGTTGCACAGATGAGACCTAGACTATGGTTGGAACATGCATGCTTGCAATAAAGACGTGTGTACAGCCGCGAATATGGACTAGATAATTTGTCGTTGTCAAAATGTTAGTAATCAACGAAACTCAGAACTATATCAGG